TTTTAAAAAAAAAAAAAATCCTAATACAATTCCCTGGTGATGCAGAGTATATTGAACCATGTATATGTATATGTGTGTGTAGCTGTTGATATAAGATGATTTGGGACCCTCCATGGCAAAGATAAGAAATGAGCAACATTTCCACCTGACCGGTTCTAACTTTCAAATACAATATAAGTACACTATAGCAATCAGGCAATAGCACACTGCAACAGGTTTCTCTTTGTAGTATTTTTCGAAGGAGATAAAACAGGAGTTTTAATAAACTCTTAACTATTGAAAGTGTATCTCCACAAGATCAGCAAAAGCAGGCAGCTTCAAAAGCTATATAATGAATTCAAATGAGAAATGAAAACATGAGCTGGAAAAGATACGCTGTCAAGGAAACCTAATCGGTTATTGATATGATCATTGGTATAATACAATATCCCAATCCATCTATTTTGGAAGTGGGAAAATGTTTTAGGAAAGCAGGGTTCCTGTTAAATGTATTATGTTTACTGAACAACCCCTTGTTATATAGCTTTTAACATGCATGGTTGCTATCCCTATTGATTTCCACCCAAATAAAATAAAGGTAAGCAATATTAACATCTAAGGTAAAGGCTTAGGGCAGAATCCAGGCTCAAGGAAGACAGTTCATCATCATGCACTAGAACTTCCTCTAATTCCTCTTTCTGATCCATCCTCAAAATCTGCACTGTAGAATAGGGGAAATGAGCATTTCTGAAGCAGCATACACAATGAGGCTGACCAAGCACATCAGACATCTTCTAAAAAGCTGTTCTGTCTTCTCCAAGCTGCCGCCTTCAAAATTCTAAAACAGGCACATCTGGATGGGACCAGGCTGGGGAAAGCAAAAAAAGCTCTCCATGCATCAACTTCAATAGTTTAAGAAATCAGGAGGAGTCTGGTAGCATCTTTTCCAACTAACCCATTTTATTAACAGGCAACAGCTGGAGCTCCTCCTGCTATGACTATGATGAGAAGCACATGGTTTAAGAAGTAGTCCAAGTGCCTGTAGTTACTTAAATAATTATATGCCTTAAATTAAAGTGCTTTGATAGGCCATGACATTCTCATCCTAGTCTAAAGAACTACTGTACAAGAATGGCTTTGGTCTCTGTGCACAGATCATGGTAATGCTGACCAGTGTAAATGCTATTTTGATCCCAAATGGAAGATTGGTGCTGCCAGATTTCAGAAAATCTTGTTTGAATAAATCTGTAAAATCAAACTAAAATTGTCATGAATTTTAGTAGTATTTTTAAACAATGATTTAACTTGTTGTTAGCCACTTTGAATACTGCTTGAGCAGAACAGTGGAGTATAAAACAAACTAGCAAACTCATTTGATTCTAGGATACACACCACAGTTTCAGTGAGCCTACAACACCAGTTCCATGTGGAACTATAGATTTGTGCCCTTCAATATTCTATAAACATCCTCATCCCTTGCTACATATCAGTGAACAGCAAGTGATTCTTCATGGAACTATGCAACTTACAGTGAAGGAAGCATAGCAACATATCAATGTTCCCAAATATGCAAGGATTATGGCATGTCACCTGCCTAGATAACACTGATATGGGTATAAGGATGTCTATATGGGCAGGGCCATGTGTGTCACAGAACCTTCCTGGGTGGTGGATGAGAGGCTGGGCCAATGCAAAGGATCTGCATGGGACATTTAAAACATCACTACAGGGGATACATATTTACTGCTTTCATGACAACATAAAGCTGATTTACCTCTTGGACAATATACATCTGGAGCCCACTGGTTGCATTCATAGTTATCTACTGCTTGTTCACAGGTGAAACATTTGAATCCACCAGGGTATGGAGTTGCTGAAAAATGCAGGTGCAACCATGACATCAATTACAAAGTTAACTGGAATATTTAAAAAAAATATTAAAGGACATATATATTACAGAAATAAAACTCACTGTACAGAACTTTCATATAGCTAAAACAAGTTCAGCATCATTGACAGGAGAATCTGGAATTTCAGTTCAACCCATTTTTCACCAAAACACTGTGTGTATGTGTGTGTGTGTAGAGAGAGAAAGAGTCTAAACAATATTCTTGTTTAGACAGATAAAATATTTAACATCTAAATCAACATTCTGAGGAAGAAGTCAACTAAGATTTTCACAGCATACACTCCACCATTTTTTGAAAAAAAAGATGGTGGGGGGAGCGAATACAAGAAAAAATTTTTTTGTTAGTTTATAGCTTGCTTTTTCTATAGAAACTCAGGGAGCTTACACAAGGATCTTGTTTTATCCCCACAACATTACGAGGCATGTTGGACTAAGAGTGATGCCACACATTAGTTTTCATGGTTGAGAGAGGACCTGAACATGGATCTACCCAACTATAATCCAGCATATTAACCACTATACCACACTGGCTCCAAAATGTGGCCTAATGGTCAATCATAGCTTAAGATACTTCATAGCAAACTCATGGCTTATCTTCCACCCTCGCTTGGAGCTTTTTAAATATTAATGAGCACAGCTAGTCAACTGGCACAGGAGCTCCAGTAGAAACAAATAACACTCTGCCATTAAGAGGTTTCTTGTAACATTCATCCAAAACCTATACTTTTGTACCTTATATACCCTATGAAAATCTATTCAGACCCTTCCAGATATGAGTCCTAGATATGTCTGAAGACTCCTAACACATTTCCTTTCTACTCTTTTCCTGGCTATACATCCCCGGTTTTCGTCAACACTTCTACACAAGCCTTATTTTTCAACCCACTGACTGCCTCTGCTTTTTGAAAAATTTGATCCAATCTGCTTACATTGCCTTCTTGCTATCAGGTGACTAGGACTGGACACCCCCCTCACCGAAAAAACCAAGACTGGCCACAAACCAATCATAGTAATCTATGCAACAAAACTGTACTGTCACTGCAGTGCAAGACAATGTGGTATCTGTGGATAGCTCCCTTTTTATCCTGTCTTTTTCAAGCTATTTTAACTGAAAAAAAACAAAAAAAACAAATGAGAACCTTGATTGTTTGGAAGCAAAGCACCAAACTCTGGCTTCATTTTTATTGATCACACTGCCCTTCTGCCCCATATAGCTTGTGTAAGGATTCTTAGAATTTTTTAAAAAAAATGATGGGTGGCTGCAGGCCAGTTATTTAAAAGCATCTCCACTTGTCCTGATTGGGGGTGGGGGGAGGTTAACATACAGTGGAATGGTAATGAGTATGCTGGGAGTTGAGAGAGAGTAGAGATAATAGATAATCTATTTACCTTCTGGTAAATGGGTGCTTTGTGGAAAGCTCTGATGACCATCTGGGTCATTTAGAGGGAAAAGCGACAACATCCTCTGAAAATTCCAAATGGACCAATTGCCCAATAAGCGTCAGTGGATTTAGAGAGAAAACCAACTCTTGATTCAGGGAGAAACTTGAGATCTTGACAGTGTTAATGTTCAGGACCAAGAAAGAGATATTGCTATCAGCCCTTCAAGGCAACAGATGAAACTTCAAACACAGAACACACCTATATACCATGCACTCCTATGCACAGCTACTCAAACACAAGCAGTACTGGATGAAACAGTGTATCCTTAGCAGAGAGTATACATAACATTAGAGCCTCAAATTATTATTTTTTTAAATCTTAGAATGGGGAGAGAGATAGCACAAATATTAGGTATGCATTATGAATTTTTTGGGCACTGTCAGTACCCTCACCAGCTTCAGCTCTCCAAATTCTTTCCATTCCCGGTTTAAAAAGTGCCAACTGATAGTTAATTACATAAATAAAACTAAATAAAGTATCAACAATCAAATCATCAACATCGTTTGAAGGTTAAGATAGCCAAGGGTTAAAGATATATCTACAAAGAGTCCTGTGTTAATTTTACCAGTTAGGCTAATCCTAGCTATAGCTCAATGGAATGTTTTGACTTATACTAAGAAAAAAATATTTGAAGACTGGGACTGAAGAATTTGCACAGATGCAATATACAAAGATACTGATCCATAAATTTTTACTAAGATCTCTGAAACATTTTGCTCAACACAAAGCATTTAATCAGTACCTTTTTATACAGAAAATAGTACATTACTGTATAGGACAATTGCCAGATTTGGCTGGGCTAGTTTTGTTTTTTATTTCAAAAGGAATTGACTCAAAAGCATGGACGTTGGCTACTCTATTCTACAAAAGCACCACCTGTCTGATTACCTTCTTCCTCATGGGAAAAATGAAAACCTCTTACAGTGACTGTACACTGGCAAGCAGCCTATATCAACTTCATATATTGCTAATAAACAAAGGGTGTCCTGGACCTAATTCAGTCCTACAACCTAAGAATGAACCAGTATCTCCCAAACAAATTATGAAAAGAAGCTGTATGCCCTTATGGCAGACTGAGGGTGGAACTCTGATGCCTAACTTATCCAATATTTATAAATCTAATGTCAAGGAGCTTGATTCTAGTGCCAAAGTACTTGAACTTTTCCCCCCTCTTAGCTCTGCTAGCAATGCCCCACCATGTTTTCCATCTATATTGCACTTCTTTCTATGTAGATTACTGATGCTGTATGAAGAAGGCATATTCTGCGTTACTACAAAGAACTGTAAGACGTCCTATAATTTTAAACAGGAATAACTGTGGACAACAGAGGCTTCAGTTATGTTTTTATAGCCCAAGGGGTGGCACTGGAATCTCAAGAATTTTATGGAAAACACGATGGCACAAATACCAGTCTCTTTCCTTCCAGCTCTTCTGCAACAGGAAGTCCCTGCTTCCATCTCTCTCGTAATTTCTTCCCACACTGAGCTCGGATTCTTTTATTTAAGGATGGCTTCTGAATGAGATTGAAAGAAAGCCAGGACGGTGAAGTGGTTAGGTGCTAACTAGCATCAGCACTTCCCTGAGTGACCTTGGGCTAGTCACTATCCCTCAGTTTAGGGTTAGTCACAAGGTTACTGTTGTGGGATAAAAGCTAGCGGAGAGCGCTGGGCATGCCATATGGAGCTCCTGGAGGGAAAGGAAAGGTATGTAAATAAAGTGAGTGGAATATATACTAAATTGCTCCATTTTGATATTGTAAATATAATTTACCAAAATAAAGAAAATACTGTCATGAAGCTAGAGAACAGTGTTTAGGAGGCCCTTTAACTCTCCAGAAATTATTTAATGGGGCTGCAAAGGAAGGAAGAACCATTCCATCAGCGGTGTCCATTCTGTTGCTAGATAGCCACTGTTGGACACAGCCCTACACTATTTATGGAATGGCAAGACCTACAGCTATGGAAGCCAATACAGACAGTCCTCAACTTACAACCATTCATTCAGTGACCATCTGAAGTTACAATGGTGCTGAAAAAACGGACATACGATTGGTCCCCAAAGTTATGGCTGTTGCAGCACCCCCATAGTCATGTGATCGAAATTCAGGCATTTGGCAGCCCACCCACACTTATGACCACAGGGGCACTTCAACTTCCCCCACCCACCTATCTCCTCCCTTCTCTGCCCTTTTGGCCACCCTGCCTTGCAGGTCAGCAAGCAGTCCCAGAACAATGTGGCTCAGGGGCTTCTTGGCCATGGCTCTGGGACTGCAAGAAGCCCCTGAGCCACAGCACAGTGCAAAGCTGCAGCCACCCCTGGAAGCCTCACCCGCCCCAGCCAGCAAGCATTTGTTCACCCAGCTGCCTTCTCTCCCAGTTCCCCGCACCAACCTTTCGCCTTTTGCATCCAGCCACCACAGCTGAAGCAGAAGACCTTTGCTGCCTCCTTTTCAGACCCACAGCTGCCATACTCATCCAGGCAAACACTTCCTACATGTGGCTCCCTAGCCCAGCTCAGCAGGGCGGTGCAAATAAGAATGCCAGCCAATGGGGAAGGACGGAAGCAGTTTCACCCAATGGGAAAGCGCCAGGGCTTGGCTCAGCTTTTCTGGCGCTCTCCCATGGGGGAAAACCTGGCACTTTCCCATTGGGCGAAACTGCTTCCTGCCTTCCTCATTAGCTGGCATTCTTATGTGTGCCGCACTGCTGGACAACAACAACAGTAATAATATAATTATTATTGCAAGCTTGCAATAATTATTATTATATTTAATAATAAACAGAAGCATTCAATAGTAACATTAAGTTATTATTAATAATATTAAATGATTAAATATTCTGTTTAAATAATAACAGACGTGGTTGCCCAGGGTGGCATGGCTGGTGTGGGTCTGAAAAGGAGGCAGCAAAGGCAGTGAGGCGCTTCTGCTTCAGCTCCAATGGTTGGGTGCAAAAGGTCAAAGGTTGGTGTGGGGATCTGGGACAAAAAGCAGCTGGGTGAACAAATGCTTGCTGGGCTGGGCTGGGGAGGCTGCGGCTTCCAGGGGCGGCTACGGCTTTGCACTGCGCTGCAGCTCAAGAGCTTCTTGCACCCCCAGAGCTATGGCATGCCAAGAAGCCCCTGAGACATGGTGTAGCAAGCAGCCCCAGAGCTGTGCAGTTCTGGGGCTGCTTGCGCCCCACAAGGCAGGGTGCAGGGTAGCCAAAAGGGCAGAGCTGGGGGGGAGATAGGCGGGTGTGGGGAGTTGGAGATAGTCTTTTACTTTACTGAGGCTTGGGGCTGGGAGAAACCAAGCCAGGAATGGCTGGGATTGGAGTGGGTCCTTGGCTAACAACCGGTGCAATTTGCTTAACAACGGCAACAGGGAGTGCTAGGATTGCCGTTGCTAACTGATGCAGTCATGTGACATCTCACTTTATGACCGCATCACTTATTGATGGAAATTCCAGTCCCAATTGTGGCCATAAGTTGAGAACTACATGTAAGTTCCAAATTATAAAATATTGGTAGGATTTATATATTGAGCCATGCAGAGTGTCTACCTTAACTAAAGAAGATTGCTTAGGGACCCATCATATGAAAACAAAACAACACAAAATGATGATTTGATAAACAAAAGAATTCAAAATAATTACCTGGCTGTAAATGTAACTGACTTGAATAATGAGAAACATTTAAGAAATATCCAATTTATTATAAATGTATTAATTTATTATACTTATTTAATAGCTGAATTATTTTATATAGACATTCAGGAATATTTTTATTCCTGATTATTCCACTATCTTATCTTGATGCTCATTTGACAAATGACAAACTAGGTTATTCTGCATTGTATTTAAGGGTTTCCTTAAATGAAATGTAAATACTCTAATAAGAGCCACTTTGGTGTAGTGGTTAAGGCACCAGACTAGAAACCGAGAGACCCTGAGTTCTAGTCCTGCCTTGGGCACAAAGCCAGTGGGTGACTTTGGGCCAGTCCCTCTCTCTCAGCCCTAGGAAGGAGGCAAGGGCAAGCCACTTCCAAAGATGTTGCCAAAAAAACCTGCAGAGTTTTGTACAGGCAGTCACCAGGAGTCAACACTGACTTGAAGGAAATATATACATACACACATGCGCACACACACATACACACACACATATACTTTAACACAAATAAATAGTTTAGATTATGTGTCTCAGAGGCATGCAGAAATCATATTCCAGGAAATAGAGCATCTGGACTGACAAAATTGCTGTCACAGCTCTTTTGAATTAAGTTTGTATGTGAGAACTGAGCTATCATAGCTGCTCCTTTGTATGGAGAGAAGATAGTGCCACAATTACAAATGCCTGATGTTCCATCTTGTACCTACATGTATAAAAGTGCATACATAGAAATAAAGAGACTATGAAAGTTCCTGAATGCTTTATACTTTTGTCCCTGTAAGAAAGAAAGAAAGAAAGAAAGAAAGAAAGAAAGAAAGAAAGAAAGAAAGAAAGAAAGAAAGAAAGAAAGAAAGAAAGAAAGAAAGAAAGATAGATTCTAATAGTGGCAGCTACAGCTGTGAGAGACTCTTGTTTGGCTCAGGATTAGAGAATTTAATAAGCCTGATAGGCTGTGGTTTGGGGCAAAAGGGCACAATCCTGTAAAAAGGCTATTCTAAAGGAAGAAAAAGAAACGGCCCCTCGGCCAGGAATTGCCTGTAACTATATCTGGCTATTAACTCCACCGCAGTGCACCTTACAGACCAATTTGTAAGGAGGACAGAAGCAGAGTACTGTTTTTGTTGAAAGAAAGAAATTAAAGTTAGAAACGGAGAAAGTCATTTGTAGATGTGCAGATTTGGAGATGTTTCATTTGTCCATGAAAGCTGGCCTTACACTTGCACGTTTGGTGTCACGGGGGAGACTTAAGGATAGCAAGAAAACCATGGGGAGAAATGAGACTCGATGACTAAAGGAAGATAGAAATGATAGTTAATGGCCAAGTAGATGGCATAAATATTACATGCACCATGCATAGTAGATCAGCATGGCAATAACATGTGTTTCCTGTCCCTTATTCTGCCCAACCTTATTTTGCCCAATTGGAGGACCTGGGACAAGGGCTTTGCCAATCCCACAATAAGGGCCAAACTGCGTGCTGCGTTGTAGCAGGTAACTACATCCGTGCCTTTTCATACCCCAAAATAACATGGAGGATCCAGTCCAACTTGGAAAGGGGTTTAACTCTTTATCCCTTCTTGTGTTTCCGTATGAATTACATTCTCATACCTGTGATTTCCATTGCAGGAAAAAAAAAGCTTCACTTGAACAGAGAGGCTTTTTCCCCGCATAAAAATTCTAGGGCTTCAGCCAACCCTTTCTGATTAAGGGGGAAAAAAAGATATAGCTGGGTGCTATACATTAAAAAGAAAAGTTTGGATCTAAGAAAGAATACATGGTTTCTTATTTATTCTCTTCCCTCCTCCCAGATTTTCTTCTCCATATATATTTCTATGACCTAATAAAGGCTCCTTTTAAATAAGCATTTCCTGACTTTTTTTTTATTCTCCTGTCCATCAGAGTACTAAGTTCATGTGCTAAATTTGGAATTAGGTACAACCTGCAAGTGGAAAAAGAATAGCAGAATAATTCCATTGCATACATTAGAGTTCATAGTCAAATTTATATATATTATGTTTCTTATATCTATCTTTTCTACCAAAGTTATTCTGGAATAAAAAGCCAGGTTTAAACACAGTGCTAAATCATACTTTAACACCACATGAATGAGACCGAGCTGTGAATACTTCCCATTCTCATAGCTACTTTGGCAGGGGCAAGGGGAAGAAGTTTAGTGATATTTGCTACCTGATTTTTATTAAACAGTTCACTATTACTTCCCCCTAAAAGCAGTAAAAAGGGGTTCGTTTAAACAATGGTGTATTTAAACAAGCTGAAACCAACCCAAATAAAGCTTGTTTAAATTAACAAGCATTTCTAGCTTGGACATACTTATAAATTCCATTTAGCTTACATCAGGAAGCCTATCTAGCAGCTAAGAACTGCTCTCCCCCAACGGATTTTTCTGGCAGATGGCCACAATCAATACTGCAGCTCTGCACTTGGGGAAAAAGTGATGTAGCACAAAGTACATCTCCTAATTATACTCTCTCTCAATATTTTAGGAAGCGATTTATTTTCTGCATAGACTAGCTTGTTCTTCAGGGCATTCCCAATCTTCAGCGATGTGCTTTGCTTCAATGAGAGGAGCACTTTCTCAAAGTTGCTTCCCAAAGCAACGTGGCCATCTCACTTACACAGGTGAAAGAAAGCAACTGACCAGGTTGCTTACATTGCCCTGCTGCTTTACAGCATTTCAGACCTCCTCAGCAGCACTGGCCAAGCTTTGGCCAATGCTGCTGAAGGAGTCTGCTGAATTTCTAGAAGCTCTTCAGCCAAAGATAGCCTGCCAATCTTCCCCAGACCTCTCATCAAAAGCTTTGGCGTGAGGAGATTCCTCTAGACTGCTTGCAAAAATCTGGCAATTGCTGCAGAGGATGTACCATTTGCCTCGTCAGGATTATTTACCAGAGTCTTTAGCAAGTGTGGTGGAGAACAAACTTTGGCAAGCCAAACCAGAGAACATGCCCTCACCACAGCCCAAAGGAGGTTCTGTCCAAGAGCACTACTGGGACACAAGCCCCTTTGGCTTTTCCAATGGACGGGCCAGAGGCAGAAAGAAGCTTCAGTGCAGAACTCAGCACTTCAGAGACACAAATCACAGTGCCTCTTTGCTTTATCTCCTCTGTGCTGCAAGTCTCTTCACTGCAGCAAATGTGGGTTGCTTTGCACAGCACTCCTATTTGTGCTATCTCCTGATTCTATTCCTTGAGCTTGCCATAGTCCTTATGTAGGGATGAGGCAATTTATTACATTACCCTGCTTCACAGGTCTTACTTGAAGGATGAAGGTACACAATATCTTTCACTGTAAAGTCTCGCGCTCGAGTTCCCTTCAGGCAGTCAGCAATTAAGCTAAGAAAGAGGAGCCAGGCCAGCATAGGCCAGGATTCCATAGCAGAGAGGGTGCCTCAAGCATGCAGATTGCTTGAAAGAAAGTTCTCCTTGTATCCAGAAGGCCCAGGAACCTAAGAAATACACAAGGAAAATAAAACAGGTAATAAATCAACAACTAATTCCACACTTGCATAATTCAAGTTGTACAGTAAGACTGAAAATCAAAGCTGGTCCTCAGACAAAAGTTCTACCAATGTTGGAGGCCAAGGATGTGGGATCTCTTCTATTTTTCATCTTCCAAAACTTGATGGCCAAGAGAAAACAACTGTTTTGTCCCCAACACTTTTTTTCTTTCCCTTTTTTTTCTTGAAAAAACATCTTGCCTCTCCAGTTCAAAAAATTCTTGGCTCGTAAAGCTAAAACAGGCATTTCCTCAAGTTTTTCAGTGGCTCTGCAGAAAGGCCAAAGCCAGTATCTAACCTAATTGGCCACACAATTTATTTCTCCCCGCACATATACATTATCCCACACAGTGATTCTGCAGGACAACGTTACACCATGGAGATTCAGCGGGAGTAGTCAGTGGCAACAAGTTCCCAGTGTGCACATATGTGCCCCGGAATATACAGTTTTCCCTGTTCATTATTCATGCACATCTAATCCTCCTGTTTGAAGCATTCCCCAATGCAACATGAATGGGAAGCTGAACTCAACTTCAACTGAAGTGGCACATTCTTTTTTTGCAGAGCAAAACAGCAGTGCTGACTAGTATAACTATTCCTATTCTTTCTGCTGCATTTCAAAATCCACACATCGTAAAAGCCATAATGAGCCCTTCAAACTGAAGCCAAAATCTGTGTCTCAGACACTATGCCCGTACCACTGGTCAATTATACCCAATCTTTTATTTAATAGTTAGAGTCCTGTAGTCCACTGTGAACTATTGTTTTAAAAATGCTGGCAATTTTGCTTAAATTGTTCTTAATCCAAAGGGATTAGTGGCTGGTTGGCAACAAAAGCCAAAGAAGAGGAAGACTTAATGTTCTCATAAACTGTGTGAGTAGCTTTAGCCACAATAAAAGTGATTTCTTTTACTTTCAGCAGTCACGTTTAGCACATCAAAGTTATATTTAGTAAGGTAGCATATATGCTTACGTATAAGCCCATCCATCCACAGATAAGCTGGCCCTCAAATTTTTAACAAAAATACCATGAAGAATGCGCCACCCACAGATAAGCCAACTCTCAAAATTTTTGTACATTGTAGTTTTCACAATTGGCTTAGCTGCGGCTGGCATATTTTTCTGTGGTATTTTGGTTAAATGCTTAATGATAGGATGGAAGCAGTTGTTTAGCACTTCCAATTTGCCCTTCACTACAAAAAGAAAGAAAATTTTAAATTCTAATCAGATGGGATGTTATCACTTGTAAGCATACTCACAACAATGCATAGGCCGTAAAAATGATTGTTCTAAATTACAATCACTGAACACTGATGTTGATAATGAAATTCTTCCACCACTCCCATCCTTTTCTAGCCCTGCACATTTTTGCCTCTAAAGAGAGTAAAGCAATGCGTGAGGCAGACACACAATTTTCAGAGCAAGCTACTTATTATCACACATTGCTGTTGTTCTAATAACCAAGTTATTTTTCAGACATTTTTCTCTGAGGCAATTAAACTTTTATTAACAATCCACTGCATATTCAATTTAAGCAGGACAGATGAAATTACACGTTATTAATTCTGCCATAATTATGTTCCCACATCAATTAGCAGTCTCAAAAACAGATGCAAAACCAGAGCACGAGATCTCAGAAACTGATCCCAGTCGCATCTGAGGCCTTTCTGAAGAGCCAAGTCTTAAAGGAACACTTGAAAGACCATTGAATCAGCATCAAACAGGTCTTTCTGAAGAAGGTATTTGATCAGGTTGACAGCACCACCAGTATCATAAGACCATGTCATCAAAAGTTCTAGACGTGGTTGTGCTTATTTCAGGGATACAATATAAAAGATGTGAATATGGTTCCAACACATGCTTCTATAAAAAGAGCTGAATGGAGTCCAGAAATCCTAGATGTCCTGTTCTACGATACTATAGAGCAGTGTTTCTCAACCTTGGCAACTTTAAGATGGGTGGACTTCAACTCC